TTTGATTACAAGCAATATTGTACGCCGATTCGACTTAAGCAGGACCCATTTTCTTTTCGAAGAATTATGGCATGTCTCATTTTGTTAGTATTAAAAGTTCATGTCTTTAAAAAAAGTGTTTTTTGAAAGAAAATCTATTTTTTGACATGATAGAGTAGGTTTAAGTCAATAATTAAGCACAACTAACGCTTTGGAAACCTGTTCACCACCGGAGTTTACCTTTCTAAAGAGCTTTAACAGAACTGACTATCGATTGCATCGGTGATAACAAAATTCAAAACACCCTTCATAGAAGAGGGGTGGCTTCGAAGAGTAAGTCCGGCCGAAGACGATAACTGGTAGTAAAAAAAGATTATAATAAGATTCCAACAAACTTTAATTTTTCATTTTTTGATTAACTTTTACAAATATTTGCGTGAACCTTTTTATCACATAAAACGAGAAGGTAAGACGTCCTTTTTTGGCTTCATAAGCCATTGGAAAAGTTGTTTTGGTCAGTTTGCCAACGGCAAGAAAATGTACATCGACTCAAGTTTGCACCCAAAATCAGATATTCATTATTTGAAAAAGGTTCTTTTGAAGGAAAGACTCCATCCATGAGATCTACTAAGTTACTATGGGCATTTCACTTCATTCTGCTGCCTAAGTAGGTGACAGCGCTGTTTTATTTTTATTCAATCATTGAGATCCGAGCCAACAGGCGTGAATAAGGCGGTGCAGTGAGTAGAAGGAGTCTTTATAACATCAGTGGCTTTCTTACGAGTGACTGCAAATAAAACCGTACAGAGGTGGTGATGACGGCTTAGGACACGTTTTGGTTACCTTTTTCTTTGGCCGAAATTCGAGACAGCTGACTAAAACTGAGGAAAAGCGTAACAATTAAAATTAGCCCAGGTAATACTGAAAGCATCAACAGCTATGGCACCAGGTTCTCGATGCCATGAAACTAAACTATCAGACTTGTAATTAAGCCTTGATGCAATAAAAAGTAGATTACATGAACGAAGGTCAAGCCTGGCTTAGGTCATTAACTTTTGAGACCACTCCAAGTAAGATGGATCAAGTAAGGTCTAAGGCCAATGGTCTCAATCATGCATACACCCGTGGCAAAACCACTTTCTGATAAAAACAATGGGACCAAGAGGCAATTCTAAAGGATAAATCCAGATTGGTAACGGGAGAATGATTTTAGCCATTGCTGCACCACGGTGGTTCGGTGACAGATTTGCACATTAACTACACCACGGATACGAAATAATGCAAAATCACCATTCAGAAACTAAAAGAACAGCTCATATCTCTAAAAATTTTAGGTTTTTTCGTGTAATGCGTGATAAAATAGTTTGTGGTTCCCAGAGAGTCGATTATATACGATTTTAAAACGTAGTATTCCACAGTGCTATGAATTGCCCTCTATTACAACGTTCCCCATGGTATTGTACCCTATTTTTGACTGCTTTCTTAAGTGCTCTGGGATATACAGTCCAATATGTCATGTAAGACTCCATATACAGTCGACTCTCGATAACTCGAATCTTGAAGAAAATCGAAAAAAGGTTCGAGTTATCGGGAGTTTGAGTAATCGGGAGGCAAGATTCAGATTGGTCTTTTTTTGGTTTTCATATCATGTACTTTCAAATTTCTTTTTCAAATCAGAGTCCTCACCCGTGGAGTTAATGCAAAAAAGACAACATATTCTGTCAAATTTATTTGAAGACAACAATTTAGGGAAACAAATTATATATTTAATTATTCACAAAATACTCAAGATTTAAAAAGGCCGTTTGCATTAGGTTGATCACATGATCAACTTTAGAAAACACTAAAGCAGTTTGCTTTTGAAAAATTTTGTTAGTTGTGTGAGAAAAACAATTTAATTCCAACCAGGTGTGTTTGAATGGTTTTCCATACAAGGCTGAGTTGAATGGAAAACAACTCAAGTGTGCCTGGGTGGCAAAAACTAACTTTCTAACTTTCGACGGCCATTGCAATCACTATACTTTTGGGATATATAATGGCTGAAAATTTGCAGGTTACCTAGTGTTAATATGCCCTTTCAGCTAATGCTAACAAACTTTTTCAAAAGTAGACTGTTTTTGTGTTATCGAAAGTTGATCACATTAATAACTATTGTAAAAGGCCCATAATTTTTTTTCACATCCCAAATTTAAAAAATGTAATACTATAACAATACAGCCTGCAAAATACAGAACTCTCTACTTGCTGCTCGCCACTGACGACATTTTGTGAGAGAGATGTTTAAAATGGACAACAATATATGACTTAACTGATGAACCGCTCCTGGTGTCTGCTTGGTGAAAGCATTATTTTTTAATATATTCTGATCTTTGAGCATTTTTTTTACTAATGAATATTTACCAAAAACAAAAGGTCAGAATTAGATCATATTTGAACACAATGAATCTTGCACAAAACAGTAATTTTTGGAAATATTCTTTTTTGAAGAGGCAATTGAGTTTAAATTCCAAGGCTTTTTTGCAAGAAATAACTCAACAGTTCAATGGAAAGCAAAAGATGCATAAACTCTCACAAATTTATGAGTATCAGATTAATTAATATGTAAACATCATTTTGAAACCCCCTATGGCAATGAACAATGAGATGAGGCTGTATTCGCAGGCAAAAATATTGATGATTGGTTAAAATATACTGTGAAACCTTATCACAATGCAGAGTAACTGTGGAATGTTAATCGTTAACAAACAATGTGCAATTTTTACGAACCCCTATGAGCGGACTCCCTCTATTAAGCGAACACTTGGGAAGGTCCCGTAGCTGTCCTGCTTTAATAATAAAGATTTCACTATATATCGTTTTTAGAGTGGCTTTACTTAACCTGTGAAATCGGTAGTAGAATGCTTAAAAGCACTATTATGCACTATAAATTTCGTTGTATTTGTATAGGTAATCACATGATTTCGAGTGCAATTTGGAATAAATAAGCACGAGTAAATTTTTCAAAGACCAACAAAAGTGCACG